ATATCAGAATAGTACAATGGACGACTAATATTAAACTTTGGGAGTATTTTATGGAATCGACAACACAAGTTTGAATGTTTTGATGTGTATTAAATATGGTCAAAATTACTGCCTATTTCTCTTGTCTCATTAAAAGCTAAAATTGGATTTTTTGACACACACACTGGATGGGCACTTAAAAGCCGAAATGATGAAAGAATTGATTTTAGGGAATGAATGCACGGAACATTATATAACGGCACATCCAAGAGATAATGAATACGAAATGTCATTCCAAGCCACTAAACTAATAAGACAAGAAAACGTCCATATTACATACTACTTGAAGTTTTTACTTTGAACCTACTTCTTACAAAATTTAGGAATAAAGATATTAGGAATAAAGTGGGAGTAGCCACCGAGGTAGACAAGGTAAAGAAACGAGACTAAGATAATTCAGATATGTAAAGAAAAAATGTGTAATGTCCTAGTGAGTCGGTATGAGAGGTTGTCTATGGTGGAATTTAAGAAAAGGTAGAGGTAGATCAAAAATATTGAGAAGGAATAGTTAGATAGGACACATGACACATCTTCAACGTGCTAAAGGCATGACTTTAGATAAAAAGATATGATGGTCACATATTAGGATATATGGAAGATTAGAATAAGGTAGTTGAGCGTTCAAATAGGCTTGGTAATAGTTTGGTGAATTGTACCTGTTTCGCCTTTCATATCATTAGTAATAATATTATTCTCATAGTTTTCTGTCCTACGATTTCTGTTACTACCTATTGTTTTTTATACTTCGATGTTTACACTATTTAACTATTTTAGTTGTTCCTTCTTTTATGAATACTATGTAATGGTTTTTCTTGTTATTTGTTATGTCCTTTGTATTATTTAAAAAATATATATTTTGATATGTGTTACTTAAGTCGCGGGTCTTTCAAAAGTCACTTTTTCTACCTCCACGAAATAAGAATAAGATCAGAATACACTCTATCGTCACTAGATCCCACTTATAAAATTACATTAGGTGTGTTATTGTTGTAAAAATCAACTTCTCAAAATAAGAATAAATTTAAAAATTAAAACAATAACACCTTCCTAGTTAGTATATTTTAAAAAGAAGAAGTTATTTTAGAATAATAGAAAACTAAAAATATCGTATATTATGAACTAGAGGGAGTGAGTATATCCTAATCTTTTCATATTTAAACTATGCATTGTATGAATCCACAACCTAAATTTGAATATATATGATGGAGTACTAAACATGGTCAAAATTTCTGTCAAAGTTTTTCTTGTCCTTTTATAAGCTCCAATTGAATTTGGACATATACATGGATGGGCACTTAAAAGCCGAAATTATTTTCCAACTTTTTATATCCCAATCAAAGAAATGATTTCGGGAATGAATGCACAGAACACTATACAACGGCACGTCGAAGAGAAAAGATAATGAAAAAGAAATGTCCAGAAAAACTCCAAGGAAGGGGCACTCAGTGAAAAAACATAATGAAGTGACAATTTGCCTTCCTTCCCCATCGGATTCTATCCAAGATTTAGGGGTCATTTGATACGATGGTGAGATATTTTACTAGATTAATTATTTCATCTTTTATACGAGATAACTAATTTCGTCATTTATATTAAATGATCAAATCATAGTAAACACTCATACCAACAAAAGGTGTGGTAGAGTGATAAGTATTCATTCATTCATTATCAAAGTGTCTCGAATTCGAATTTCGTACGGAATTGCGGAAGCGTTTTCCCAAAAATCAGAGCAAACACTCGTACATTTATAGCTCAATTCCAAACTAACACGACATGCCAAAAAGTGTCACCATCTTTGATTTGATGTCCATGTACATCCACCATATAGTCAAAGTGTGACTGGTATTTTGTCAAAATATAATTGTACTAACTATCCTCCTGCCACATTATTTTTTTTCACCGTGGTCATTCGTGTAGGACTATTATGTCAGTAGCCCTTTAAATTAGATATTGATGAGAATGTGTTCTTTAGCAAAAATAAATAAATCAATAACATTCTCTTTTTATAATATGGATATGATCCATTTATCCTCAAAGATTTTGAATTTAAACTATAAAAAAAAAATTATTATCACTCTCAAAGATTTTGAATTCGAACTAGGAGAAAAAAAACTTGTTATCAGATAGTATTTTCTTCTTAAATGAATCTATTCCAAATTATTACTATTCACCAATGGGTGTTTGCTCGGATGTTGATTAGTGTAGCAAATAAATTTCAAATATTGAATGCATAAAGGATAAGAAAAAAAGACCCTCTCCTCTTTCAACATAAATGTGATTCTTCCGCGATTTTGAATTCAATTGGTTACTATTTAACGGACCCTACAAAATATCATTGCTTAGCTAGGGAGTGGAAATTTGTTTAATTTTGATTTATTTTTTGCGCAAAAAAAATCCAAATTCTATAAATAAAAAACGACAAACTTTTTTTTAAAGCCAAAATATAGCTGTTGAGTTCTTTTAAAATTTACCTCAAATTTGTATATTTCATAATTACTTTTATCTATTTATGACTCCGACTACTTTGAAAAACATGATTGATCCAACAAAAGTGTCTTACTTGCTTAATCTTGTTTTCACAAGATTCGTAAATATGATCAGGAGAAAATCAATTCAATAATTTACAACTTACAAGAAGATTGAACTAACCGTTATTTTCATATGATTATGTTGTACTGTAATGTGTGAAATACGGAAGTTAATTATTTTAATTGTACTTTATTGTGATGTAGATACCACTGTAATTTGCATAATGACTTTTATATAATGTATCATCTAAAAATAAAAAATTGTATGAAAACATCATTTAAATCTATTTTTTCAAAATGATCTAAAAATCTACCACTTTTTTCTTGCGACTCCAAGATCGCAGGGCCTATACTCGTGAATGATGATATATATAAATAGAGACATGTAGTGGTGGGTATTAACTGCGAAAAAGAGGGTCCCCTTAGGAAGCAACAATTGGTAGTAGTGAGAGGTTGTGGCCAAGTCTGGTTGGGCTCTTATTTTGCAATACCAACTCACTACTCACTATGTTATGTTTTGTTTGAGAGTAAATAGTCACTCTTCTTCATGGCATGCTTAGAAATGTACAACAAAAACAACTCATCTGCTGACCAAAACAACAACAAACTTTATTCAATGAGTCCTAGAATATCCTTCTCAAATGACTTCATTGATTCTTCAACTAATTCTTCTCAACACTTGATCAAAAATGAGAGGAGGGATTCCCCTGTTTCCTCTGACTTTGAATTCTCCGTCACTAATTATAGCATGCTTACTGCTGATGAACTTTTCTCTAAAGGCAGATTGTTGCCTTTTAAAGACACTCACAAAACTACTACTACTACTACTATTCGAGATGAACTTCTCAATGACGACAACGATGATGATTTTACTTTGAGGATACCCAAAAGTTCTACTAGGTGGAAAGGCTTATTAGGCCTCAAAAAATCTAATCTTGGCTCTAAGAAAAATGATGAAAAAAGGCCTCAAGACCTGCCTCATTCTACCAAGGTACGTTTTATTTATTTATGCAAACATACATTAGTTTTATGTCTAGTAAAAATCGAGTCTTTTGATATGATATGAGTGTTTTGTTTATAATTTGCAGGAAGTGTACAATGGGTCTGGTAGTGGAAGAGATATGGACTTTCGTTTTAATTGAAACTACCAAAGTATTTTGGGGGATGGCTTCTATGCTTTTTAGTTTTTTTGAAGTTTGGGAGAATTGAATCAACATAGATTCTGATTTGTTTTGTGTACAAGTGTTTGGAGTTCAATTCTTATCATTTTCTACTAGTACTATCTTTTAGAGCTATTGTGTTTTTTTTTTTTTTTGTATTGAATCATCAATTGTTAAATATGTACAATTTGGGAGATCATTGTTGGAATATCTCTAGCTCGTATAATTTCTCAGATGAAATGACAGCTATAAGGGGCATTTCGGCTATAAAAATGATTGAGAAGGCGACCAGGATGAGCAAGCATAACTTTTATTTGTCTGTTATATTAAAAATAATTTGTTATTTTACTTATGGCATATCAAGACGAAATCATATACTTATTTCTTTTCAATGTTTAATATTTCTTCAAATCATTTTCCTAAGACCAACATTAATTAATATTATTATGATAAAAAAAAACTCATGTCAATCATTTGTTTTTGTAAGGGACTTGCAAAGTTCAACTGCAAAAATACTAGTAGTACTAAGGTACATGACATATTATTCTTTATTTCCTTCTTGTTCTTCAACTAGAGTACTATATTTGTATATTTTGGTACTAGTAAATAAATAGTAATAATAATAATTAGAAATGAAAGTTAAGGTCAAAATGACAGGCTGGATGAGGAAGAAGCACAAAACTCCAAAAGAGATTTCACTTTTACCAATCTGAATCTGAGTCATGAGAATTGATAAATGTGTATTTGAATATACAAGTGACAATATGCATACATATAAATTATTAATTATAATGTCCATAGCGTGGGAGCTGCCGGACAAAACGTACTTGGCCCATTTTGCAAAGAAGCTTCCTATTCCTATACTTGATATCCTCTCTTACTTCACTTTCAACTATAGTACCAAAAAACTTGTTTATTTACTATTTGGAAGCTTTTCCAAAATCAAATGAACAATAAAAATGATGCTTTGATTAACAGTAAAATTTATAATTAAAAAAAGTTCAAAATAAATAAATAAAAATTGATCACTTCTTTTAGACTAAAACATCAAAAGATGGTTTCCCTGATTTTGGTAGCAAAAAAGTTCTAAATGAATATTTCTCAGTTTAAAGTGACTGAATTTGACAATTTCATTACCCAATGTAATCCCATAAATGGGATATAGAGAAGGTAGTGCATATAGACTATACCCTTACAAATAGTTGCTTCTGAAATACCCTCGATTCAAGTATATTTGATCTAAAGTTGAAGAGAGCAATTTTTTTCCCTCATCTAATTAGAAAATTTTGAAACAGTGACTTAGAATATAGACTACTTGTACACACCAGACACCAGTCCATGAATTTTTTTAGCTAGGTCTTTAGGCTTAAATAACAATAGCAGCAGAATTTAGCAATCGAAAAAGTACAATTATCATGCCCTCCTAGCTTGATATTACTACCAAGTACAAACTAACAACATTTTCCCTTTGTACCGTTCCCTCTGATTTGCTGCATACAACATATAATATTGATAAGATTACCATGGAGCATTGACTTCTCCTTGAAACATAAGCTCATAGCTCTCAGCTTTTGATTTCAGAGCCTCAACATCAGCAACATATTTTCCAGAAGCTTGTTTCAGTTCCTCAAGTTTCATTTCAAGATTCCGTATCTCATCTTCAGCTCGAGACCATTCCTTTTTAGCGTCCCAGTACCTCTTGGTGTCCGAAGCACCTTCAGAGTCAAATGCAAGACTCAGCAACCAGCGCAGACGAGTCCTCAAAAATCCAACATTCATGCCCAGAAGTTCAAAAGATTTCAGTGACTTCTCCCATTTATCGAATTCCTTCCGTGGGGTGGTGAGCTTGCAGGCTCTTACCATATCGGCAATGTTGACGACTTCAAAAATCATACCAGCGACCAACTTACAATGAAGACCTTGTAGAAGACGATCATGAAGAAAAGCATTTTTACTGCAGCATAACTCATAGTACTTTCTCCTTATATGTTCAGGAAGTTCAGGGTCTATGCATACTCCATTCACCAGAATGTGAAACTCCTCAAGGCTCTTAATGTCTCTAAAATTAACAGCAAGACCAGAGGACCTTGAGCCCTCTAAAATTTCTGAAGCAACCTCATCGCTATCATTTCCCGACTGTGCCTCCAATGGCACAAGTTGTTTACTCAGATCCTCCTTTCGTCTCCTCTTTTGCACAACAGTTAAGGGAAGAGACTTCTTTTGGCGCTTCTTTATGTTATTACCAATAGTTCCCTCTGACATGTAACAAATTGGAAACAAGTTGTTTAGAAGAACCACAAAAGACTAAAAGCTATATCATGTTTCACAGAATAGAATGTTTCGGGTATAAAATTGATTTACTGACCTGCATCACTTTGCTTGGCGGGTGCATCCAAATTTAGAAGGCTAAGAGCGCCATCCACCTCCTTTAGATCATTTGCTCTTATGACATACACCTATGAAATCAGAAACGAAGTTTAGATCATTTGCAGTTAGAAAACCATTTCTTCAATTTCCAAGTTTCTGGTTCACTTCATGGTGAGCATTCCTACTGAGATGTCCTATATAATATCTGACACCAGGCTTAAGACAAAAACTATCATCACTTGCAACAGAGTTTATCATGCTGTTGACTGGATAACAGTTGATATAATTAAAGCAACTTTTTCAATAGCCCTAATTCAATCAGAAATTGCCTCTCAAGCCTGTCAAGAGATATAGCAAATATCAGGTGTTGATACAGAGATAATAGTATTTGTTATTCTCTGTGCCCCCACCAATTAACTGCCATCACACAAAGTCGATAATCATCCCACCGTCAAAATGTTTCAACAGTGTCACTGCTATATTCAGGGACTACCATGAATTTGTTTATCCACAGCGAAATACATTTTCTATCCTTTCCATTTGCTTCAGTAAAAGGATGCACTCACTAATAGCTATCCTCTTACTTTTGGTATGTTAAAAAGAATCCACAATATTTGTGGAATTAATGTTTAATCGAGTAAAAAAAAACAAGTGCATACCTGCCCTCAATTATAGGCACCAAAGTGACCAAATAAGTTTAAGATGAAAACATGTGAATTTCTACCAATAGTATTGCCCATATATTTGTTCCTTCCAAAAGATACCTTGATAGATGCTTGGTTTGAGGCAGGTGTGCACTAACATGGGCTCACTGTAATGTTGATAAGACAGTCTCCAGACACTATCCATGAGGCCTAGAAGTACAATGCTAGGAAACCAGCTAAGCAAGAAATGAACCACAACAAATAGTATATTCTATCTGGATCCATGATAGGCTAAGCAAATACGTGAGACATGCTCTACCAAGATACCTGCAAACCTTACTATGATGATAGTTCTCTTTACAAAACTATAACAGATTAGAATGCCTGCTCTACCATTTTTGGACTTGAATAGTTCAGCACAGGGAAAAAATAGAGTTTACCGCACTTGTGATAATGTTGATGCTGACCAGCAGTAGGATCAATGTCCCCCCCCCCCCCCCCCCCGACTTTACTACAACAACATACCCAGTGTAATCCCACAAGTGGGGCTGGGGAGGATAGGATGTAGGCAGAACTTTCCCTCTTCCCCCCTGACTTTGTTTTGAGGAAATACAATAGAGAGGACACCTTAACTGTTAGTTTGTCAACTACTTCCATCCTGTTCAAGCACAATGCCACAAAACTGGTGACCTCAAAATTTGTAGATTACAACTGAAAGAGCCTCAACTCTAACAAAGTCTCCCAGGATATATATTAATATCAAACATACTAGAGTCAAATTCAATATCTTTTTCCAGCATTAATCTACAATAACCATAATTCTGCCCAAATCTGTTGATTTAACCAAGAATGTGCCTTCGGATGAGAATAGACCTATTTTAAACTGACCAATTCACACTCCTGTTGCAGAATCTTGATGGATGAGCAGATAAGTTGGTTTAACATGATGACGTCATTCTTATATGCCATGAAACAGGAAAAAGAAAATTGATCCCACTTCTCAAGTAACCATAGTTATCTGCTACACTTCTGTACAAGTAGATAAACTAATACGGTATGGCATACAACCATTGCAATAAGCCGAGTCAAAGCATGTTAAGAAAAGAAATTTGGGAGTGTCACCTTGAATCTAGTAGGCTCGACAAGTTGAAAAACCAAAACATCTCCCTCAACCAACTTGTGAGCAGCAGCATACTTTCTCCATCCTGCACTAAGTCCGGTCTTTTCAGCAATGTATTTTATTTCATACTCTTCTCCAGTCTCACTTTCAAGAATAACCGGAGTGTCCTTTCTTGGAAGATGGTTCTTGCAGAATGGCACAGGAAGCCCCTATTTGTATGGACAATATAAACAAAAATTAGAGGGTTAAGTAAATAATTACTTTGCTAAATCAAAAGTTAAGTCGCTTAGACAAAACTTACCATCCAAAAACAACTACCGACATGTGATCTAACTAACAATTTCATGAAGCTGGGATATTCATTTCCAATACTTAACAGGAACTCCTCTGCTCGAATGATGATTGGTAATTTCATTTGGGTAGCATTTCCAGACCCATCAGCTGTAGCCCTCTCTAGTTTGGTGCTTCATGATAAAAGCAAATAACTGTCACTCTCAAATACCGAAGGTTCACAATTGTGCAAGAATAGCCAAAGAATGTATTGTACTAAAAGACTGACCTAATTGATCTGCGCCCAGCATCAACTACTCCCTGCTCAAGGATAAGAGGAACAGCAACAGAGATGTTAAAATAATTTCTTGGTAAAAGTACAGTCATGGAATGTGACAAAAAGTAGAGTGTGTTAGAAATTTGGTAAGATCACAATTATGTTCTGAATCTAAAATTAGCATAACCAAAGAGATCTCCTGAAATACTGCCTAAATGTCGAATGCAACAGATAGGAAAATGATTATATCTTATATAACCATAAAAAGGGATTACTACCATGCAAGTTAATGAGTTATTTGGCATCATGAAACCAGCATGAGATTTAGTAGAATGCAGATTATACCTTTCATTTAAATCTTAAATTTTGTGTAGTAATGATAACACATTTTGTTATTCAAAATAATACTTGGCAGACAACTGAAAGCGCCTTTCCTCCCGATAGAATATTTGCCAATGCGAGTAATCTGAAGTCACTCTTAGGCCTAGACCAATCTTAGACTCCTAGTTTGGAAAATGCAAGTTCTCTATGAATTTGAATAAGCTTTGAGTCAACCCTGATTGGTTCCATCCATGCTGTACTCAGCTGTCACAACTATTTTCACTAGTTTCATCTCCTGTAATAGCTCATTGTCTATATTTTTTTTATGCTCAATCTTTCAGTTTTCCTTTTTCATTCTAAAAGGAAAGCGAAGTGACTATCATCACAGTCACCATCGCTTAGAGGTATGAAGTTAAGTGAATCTTAATATCTCAAGGAGCTTAGCTTCTAAAGGACTCTTAATAAAGAAAGTTTTTTTCTAAGAAAGCAAGCATTTCCCATCACTTCATCCTGTTGATATGGATAGGGGACTACCCGTGGGGCCTTATTCGATGGACTGCCGGCTGGGGGTTGGACGAGTGCTCACTTCTACTTTAGGAACTCTACATCATATTACATTCACAAATACCAAATAACTACCAGTTTGACTTCAGATTTAAGCACAGAAAAAACCTTGAAGGACTAATTAAGAAATCTATAACAGAAATAAGTCCTTTCATAAGTGCAGTTGTTGAAGTTCCCAAATAACTCTTCACAGAAACAAAAGACCACGGAGATGGGGTGGCCTGGTGGAACAGTCGGAATAAAAGGCTAGGGAACCAAGCTAAGTGTTATCTGGGACAATTTTTAGGGAAATGTTGTGGTTGCTTGCTTAAGGTAACTTTGGTAGCCAGGTTGCATTGTAAATCAGCCTGTTTTCTTAAGTTGTTGCGTTAATTACTATCCCACGTTCACGCATCAGCTTAGACAGGTTTGCAATTGATGAGATCCCAACTGTAAACAAGAGTTGGAGTTGTAAATACTGCTACAATAATCACATTTTCCAGCAGAGTGAGTTGCAAATTAACATAGCAATTAGTTGAACCTTTATCAGCAAAACAAGAAGGATAAATTGGCGATACATCAACTGATCCATAGGTTATTGATTGCTAATGAAAACTGTGTGTTCGACAGGAAATAGTTGATACAAAGAGAAGTATATCTCACATTGCTGGATTGAGACTGTTTCTTGAATACCCTTTTCTTCCTGAAGGGAATTGTTGAAATCTGATCAATCATCTCCTTGGGCTTCCTTCTTCTCTTACCCTGATGAAATCATTAAGCCAGATCCAACATCAATTCAGTAAATCAAGACAGGCAAATAACAACAGAGAGAGAAAAGAGTACCTACCAGCAAAGAAGAAATTGGAGTTTGGGTAGATGGGGTTAGGGAATCAATTGGAATAGAAGCATCAACAAGACTCAAATTGTCATTCCCCAACTTGGGTATTGCAGAATCAGGCTCAGGTTCAGGTTCTTGAGTTCCAAGTTGTTGATTTTCCTGTTCCTCATCAAAAACCTCCTTCTTCGGCATATCTGGGTAGGAAACCGAAACACGTTCTTGATTTGGGGGTTCACTTCGATGAACTACTTTAATCTTCATTTTCCTGATGGAAAATGGAATAAAGATTGTACCTTTGAAGGGATTTGTTCTTTTTTCTAGCAGATCCTATTCCTACCACTCCCCTGGATAGAAAAAAAATGTGATGTACACAACAACGAAGACTAGAAAACAACTAATAGTAAAAGAAGGGATAGAAAAAACCCTTTTAGGTGTTCGGTGATAAGCACATTTTTTTTCATTTGGTTAAAGAAACAAACAATCCACAATTTAGAGATCCATTTTTGTGGTTTAATAATCTTTTGCTGGATTACAAAACATGAACCGTTTTTCACTATTAACAAGAATAACACTAGCTTGTGTGTGGGGGTACTGGCATACTGTCTTGTGAGTCTCTAGCCACCTGGTTTACACGTGTAACTTGTTAAAGCTACCATTCCTTGGATCTCCTGATAATGGAGAAACAGTTATTTGCCAGTCTAGTTTAGTAAAACACTGAATAAATGATGTGAATATTTTAGTGAAGTTCATATAACATAATGTAGATAAGTGGTATTAATTGTGTAAACGCAAGAGGATGTTGTCGTAAGTTGTAACATTTATTAGTGGCCGATCGAGTACCTCATTCAACAATGTAGAATCCAAAAGACAATTTTCTCAACCATATTTTACATTTTGGGCCAAGTACTAGTCAGGTTATAATACTTATTCCTAATCAGGACATAATATTTCATGGTATATGGAATAGATTCGCAATTATCAAACAATTCTAAAATAATAATTTAAAAAAATACAGTAAACCTGATTTGGTTTCTACAATGATCCAGTTTATTATTAGCCCAAAAACAACATGCTAAAACAGGTGTATGCATTTTCCCTCTTTTGCTTAAGGTAAAAAAACTATAATGACCACTTGACCTATAAAAACAATTAATGGGGGTTGACTAATTACTTGGGCCAAGCTTTAGTTCTTTTCAAATTGTATAGTCAACTATAATGCCCGGAATGTAATCTAGTTTATATTTTGCCTTCCACTCTAGAAATTATATAAATAATAAGAGTTAAATTTATTAAAAATAATAATTGTCTCTCAATTTGGAAGTAGACAATTAAAATGAAACTTTTTAAATTTTTTGTATACTTGACAAATGACAAGTAAAAGGAAAAAAGGAAGTGTCATATGGTAAGAGAATCAATCAACTACACTTTTTTGGGTTTTTCTTTTAACAAGTTGGAATTCAACTCCCGCTATGATACACTAAACTTAATATAAAGAAAATAATTTTATAGCGAATACGATGAAGTTAATTTACCACCTCTTTGTCATATATATATATATATATATATATATATATATATATATTAGTTTTTAATAGTTATGAATATATAGTGAATCTTTTGCGTAATGGATAACAATAATGATTCAAGATAGTTTTAATTAATAAAATATAAGTTGTAGTTTAAGTCCTTTTGGGTGAACTCTTTTTTTGGGTAGGGCTTATTTTCATCAGGTGACTTTATTCATTACAAATCATTGGATTAGTAATGTTATATATTTTCGAAATTAGATTAGTTGATGGTGAACAAATAAGAGTTGCCTCAATTAAAATTGAGAGGAGAGTAGGGACCAAAAATTCCTTCCAATCAACAGACTAAACTTTCATTACCATACAAGTATTTCCACAAACCTTGAACATGTTAGGTACCTTATTTGTCTATTCAAATGTTTAGTCATGCTGGGCATAAATATTTGATTGAAACGTCTTTTAAAAGGACCCTTTTTTTACAACACCTGACTATATATATATATATAGGACCCCTTTTTTTCTTCCTCTATACATATAGGAGCTTGAACCAAAAATTGCACACACTTTGAAGAGTTTGACCAATTACTCTTTATTCCTTCATAAAGTGAAAACAAAAAAAAAACACGTGATAAGACAATATGTATGAAAGATTAAAAATATATAAATAAAAAATTGGTGTGCCTCTTGCTATATTCCATATTCTTATAAAATATAATTATTAGTATAATTTTTCCTATTGAGAGAGTTATTAAATGATTGTGGTTTTGTTGATAATTACTCAATTAAGATAAAGAAAGTTCATTGTTGGAATAGGACTTTATTTTAGGTTAGTGGTTATGTTTTAATTTCATATATATATTTTTAGCTTAAAAATAGGTTTGAGTAAAAAATTAAAGCCTGCTAGGCTTAGACTAATCATCTTCGGCAGCCTGCGTCGGAGGACGGAAACTTTCCTAATTGTGCTTCACACACGTAATCCAACCATAATCTTATCTTATCATCACTAGCTATCACTACTATTATTTTCATACACAATAAAACACATGTGGCTTATTTTGCCCCAACCCAAAAAAGAGAGGATCTTTTCCTACCGTCATTTCTCCAATAGTCACATTAAAATAAGTGGTTTTACAGAATCATCAGGGTACCCTTTATAAATTTTTTTTTGATGTGCTTCCCTTTTGATAGATTTTGTGTATGTGAATCTGAATTTGTTGGATCAATGAACGTTTAAGGTGGAATAGGTATGTGAATAGCACGGCCTATTTTAAGCATTAGAAAATAAGGCAACTCTCTTAGGCCCCAATAAGGTACCTCGTTTTTTAGCAACTAGTTTAGTGTATGTATTTTATATGTGTGTCTTACGTTGATAGATAAAATTATGTATAAAAAGAACAAAATTATTTAAAAAACTGTAGTTGACGTTGAATAAATATTATATCTATTTAAATGATAGGAATTTCATATATGGAGATTAAAAACTCATTTTAAAAAATATGATCTCTTCCTCGAATACTTTTAAATTCTTTTATTTATTTATTTATTTATTTTATTTGCCTTAATTTAAGTAAGATTTATATAATGTAAAAATTTGTTTTTAAAGTATTAAAATATTAGGAATTTAGATATAGTACAAATAATAATAAAACATCACTTTAAAGTACTAAATATTAAAAGTTCTTAGTTATTACAAATAAGATAAGATTTAATAGTTGTAAGTTGTAACTTTGATTAATTTTAAAGTCGTTAAATATTATAATAGATTTAATAACTAATTTAGCGTACCTCCATTGTAAACGTATGTAGACTTAGAAGCTAAAAATCACAAATTTATTGAAATTGAGAAAAGTGATAATTTATAATTATGATCACAAGGATTTACATTTCAATACTACAAGCTAAAATAAATTATTAGGTCATGAATGATTTGTTTATAACAATGACATAAATGGTCTCAATATTTAGCAATACAATGCCAAATATTTAGGGGGGGGGAATGTATTTGAGTTATTAGACACCAAAAAGTAAATTGTGGGATCTTTTATGCCAAATTTAGGCCATATTATGGTGGTAAAATTCCTAATTTTTCCTAACATGATGTGATTTTATTTTGCTTTATATCTTTTATGATGCATCATATTTAAAATATATTTTCTTTTTACCATATATTTTAGGATTTCTTAATTATTAATTCTCCTAATACCTTTTATCATATATTTTAGGACTCATTAATTTTTAAATTATATTTGCGTCCTATCATATATTTTAGGACTTCTTAATTTTAAATCTTATAAAGATAATTAAATAATACCTTGAGGAAAATAATACTTTGAGAAAAATAGTACTAAATGACATTTTTGTCTATTGTAAAGTATTTTAACGAAGAACAAAAAACTCAATCAACATTTTTAAGACCTTAATACTTTAAAATAATAAATGAAAGAATTATTATACGTTTTCTTTTTAAAAAAAATCGTGTACCACCCCATTTCAATTTATCCGTCTTATTACTCTTTTAATTAGTTTTTTTTTTGTTTCAACATTTTAATATTAATTTTTCATTTTTTGCTTAGGCCATTAATTTTTTTTTTTTATTTCTTGTAATCTAAGTTGTAAAGTCGTTATCATTCCAAAATAGGCAGCTATAAGCTTAAGGTGCATTAACTATTAAGAGAAGAAATCAAGTACTAGAAGCTACCTTTCTTTTTGAAGCTTTTAAATAATATTTCTAACTCTCTGTTTCTAGAAGACAAACATATCTAATTAGTATTTTATTTCCAGGCACAATTCAAATAAGTTGGCTTATTTTAATTATTAATGAAAGAAACTAAACCAGTAAGAAAAGTGCATAATTATTGATATTCTAATTTACTAAGAAAAGAGGCACGCCAAATTTCACAAAAAAAATAATCTTCCTATGACTCTCACTCATCCTTAATTACGTCATGGACCAACACAATATAATTCCAGCCTAGCTTCTCTCTTTAAAAATTTTATTAGTTGCCTTTCATAATTCATTCTTGAGTTTCTGTTATTTGACACACACAAACAAAAAAAGAACATGACCAACAACGTAAATTCTTGGCTCCAGGGTGTTTATGTTGTTTTTGCGTTTTACTCTGCTTTATTTTTGGGTGCTCTCAAAAGTAAGTACTAATTTATTTATTTATTACCTTTCAAGATTTTTTCTAATGTAGTATGATTTTATGATCATGGTCTGTATTATTGTTCTTTGACCGAGGGTCTTTCGGAAACAGATTCTCGTGGTAAGGTATGTTGTTGTTGATCTGTGTTATTGTTGCTGGTTCTCAATTGCATAATTTTTCCGATTGCAGGTTTGTTGGTGGGTCCAATTGCTGGCCTAATACTTATTATAGGAAATGTTGGGGTGATTTTATGTCTCTTCCCAACACATGTTTTCTGGACAATTTACACCCTTGTCAAGTAAATGTCTTTTTTTTAAGGCCATTCATTTATGTTGTCCAAAGTTGATTTTTTTTTAATTTTTTCTAATGTGGATTTGTTTACAATTGAACAGGACTAATAGGTTTGATGCACCGCTTAAAGTAGCTTTCTTGTTCGGTTTGCCAGTTTTGTTTGGTATTTGGTTGTGTTTAAGCTTAGCTGGTAGTGTTCTTGTGGGAGTTGGATATGGTTTCTTTGCTCCTTGGGTTTCTGCCTTTGAAGCTTTCAGACATGAAGATGAATTTAACAAGTTTGTTCATTGCATTGTGGTAAGAAATTACTACCAATTCTTGTTTTTGGTTCTGTAGTTTAGTATTGTTTTTTTAAGGTTGTTTTGATTATGTTAATTTACAGGATGGAACATGGGGAACCATAAAAGGTAGCTGTACTGCTGTTCGAGATTTTGCAGATATGTGTTATCATTCTTATCCAATGTATTTGAAGGAACTGCGTGATTCCCCTGCTTCTCTCGACTTTCAGCCTTTTAGGTTTGTTTCTAATATCCCTTTCTATGTTTTTTTTTCTGTAAAAAAAAGGTAAATGGAGTAGAGAATTACAAGGTGGAGACTCGAATTTTATGACGGCCAAAACTTTATCAGGAAAAAAATTAAAAAATAGGGGACAATCATAATGAATCTTCTAATTGTTATACACGTTATCGTGTTCATTTTCTAATAGGGCTATATTATATTAAAACTCAACTTACCACAAATTATTTTGATGAAGAAGTCAATAAACTACCCTGGACTCAGAATAATAAATGGATTTGACTTTCTCCGTGCCCTCACAAGTCACAATGAACACATTAAAAAAATGAGACTAGGAAAAGTATAGTGGTGACTAAGAAAAGAAAGGATAGTCTGGTGCACAAAACATCTTTGTGTTAAAGAAGTTCGGGAAGGGGCATACCTATTGATGTAGACAGTCTACCATAATGCAAGCATTAGTGGTTGTTTCCACGGCTTGAACTCATGACCACGCAGAGACAACTTTACAGTTTCTCCAAGATAAAAGAGTAAACATCAAGAAAAGAAGACGGAAAATGGTAATGCATTAAGTCTAGAAAATGATAAGAAACAGTCTGAAGAACTAGAATACAAGAAAGAAATATTTTTTATGATTTGTGGGAAGAGTTTTATATCAAGCAGGAAAAAGAAAAAAAAGAGGATGATACCAATCAAAATTATATGTAAATAGAATGTTTCGATATCTTATTTGGGTACTAGCATCTATTCAATTCTAACCAGTAAAAATAATATGCAAAATGTTGTGTTGCAGATTCATCCATGTACCAGGATGTATCATGGTTGGTTTATTGGGACTGATTGTGGAAATTCCTCTTTACACTGCTATAGCCATAGTAAAGAGCCCATTTATGTTGTTCAAAGGATGGTACAGACTCATACATGATCTGATAAGCCGCGAAGGTCCATTTCTTGAAACTGCTTGCATTCCCATTGCTGGATTAACAATCCTTCTGTGGCCTCTTGTTGTCATTGGAAGTGTCATAATGGCTGTTTTCTCCAGCTTTTTCATTGGATTATATGGAGCTGTTATCGTCTATCAGGTAATTTATTTCGTTGCCTCATTAGTTTCTCAGTTCTGTCTGCTGTTTTAGTGTGACCGTCGGATTTATCATTAGTTAAAACTGTGAATTCAGGAGAGGTCCTTCCAAAGAGGTGTTGCTTTCGTGGTCGCAATGGTAGCAGAGTTTGATGAGTACACAAATGATTGGCTTTACCTTAGAGAAGGGTCCATTCTTCCAAAGTAATTACTCGAGTTCTCCCTTATTTCTGTATACACGGTTTTCATATTTGTCAATGTTACTGATCATCTTAGTCGCAGCCAGGCCTCATTATCGAAACAAGAAGGGATCCAATTCGTCAGATTACTCTGTGAAACGAAACGGTTCAGTACAAGGCAGACTAAACTCGATATTTGCTGAAGCACCTGCAATGCTCGTGCCAAGCTTAACGTCGTCTAGATCAGTGAGAGAGGCAATACAAGAAGTGAAAATGGTGCAGGTATGCTTTTCTTTCTCTGTTCTTTTCTGGCTAATTTGCAAAATGCTGACAAACATGTGAAATGATCTACTAGAGTAACATCTTTATATGTACTTTGAAGACGTAATTAAGTAAATCATATTTTTAGATAAGATGGTCACACAATTCAACACAGAATCATATTTTTCTTGTCTTGTAAACCATGAAATTGGGTAATTGACATGTCACAACAATTAACAGGTGTGGCAGAACATGATGAAATCATGTGAAATAAGGGGCAAGGAATTATTGGACGCGAAAGTGATAACTCCCAACGACCTGGATGATTGGTTAAAGGGAAAACATGGAGTTGATGTTGCAGTCATCAATGTTGGTTTAGCATGTTATACATTTCTACAGATAATCTTTTATTCCATAAAAGCCGGATCAGATGGATTGTTCCTTCTAGAGGATCTTGAGATCACTCAGCTGAACAGACCTCAGGACAGATTATTGGACTGGTTTTTCCAACCAGTCATGGTCCTCAAGGAACAAATTAGAGTCCTGAGCCTAGAAGACGGTGAAATGAGGTTCCTAGAGAAAGTGGTCCTTTTCGAGAGCAACTCTGAACGCTTTAAGGCCTGGGAAAATGGAAGTGTGGCGCCTCAGGAATCTCTCAGATCAGCTCAAATTGAAGGCATAAGCCGAAGGTAAGCCTTTTCGTTTATATTTTCATCATAAGTTTGCAGTGTTGAAGCAAGATTTGTGGGTCGTCATTTATTCTGTTGGTTTGGCAGGATGGTGGGAATGATTAGAAGTGTTTCTAAGTTTCCAACTTATAGGAGGAAATTCAGACAGATAGTGAAAACATTGATCATGCAGTATTCCACTATTTCCAGAGAAGGTTCCACGCGATCTGTTCCTCGTTCTGTAAAGAACAGTTCCACCCGATCAGTGTCCACAAGATCAAATGGTTCTCTCGAAATTGTTTAAACATTTTGAATATAGAGTAGTGATCTTTAACTCCCATCGTAATCATTTAAGAGATAGTTCATTAAGTATCATTGTTGAAAGACTTCAGAAAGTAGGCTAACAATTTTCCAAGCGCTCAAATATCTTCCTACGGACATCTTAACAACATCAAGAGAGGTCTAATGTGTAGACTGTTCAGTCTTCGTCAGAACTCACTATCAAGTAAAATCAACGTTTCTTATAGATCAGTACAGTTGTATTTTTGTCTCCGCGCGATTTCAGTTATTTTTCCTATTAGAAACTTGTACAGACATGACTTTGTTTGTTTTTCTTTTCCTTTTAAAGGGTACTCCCCAAAAGAGTATTAGAGATGATGTAAATTACTTATTTTTTTCAGTCGATAAGATATTGGATCATTCTACATTTTGCTCAAGATGAATGATTCCATTTTCTATCGAACTTCAATATGCTGTAGTCTGTAGAGGGGGTGTCTTATACAATATGCTATCGAACTTAACTGTTTCTATCTATCTATCTATCTAGTGATGTCTTGTAGACCAAAATTTGGTCCTGCATGCGGAACGGGTATTGATGACTTATTTCTTTACATCTATTCAAATTATGACAGTAACTAGCATTGCCTAATCATTTAGCTACAATGATTTGAATCTCAAACCTAAGTAGCTATAGCAGTAGGACATGTGTTAAATTGATTGGTTAACCAGCTAAGGAAAAGCTAATAGGAAAAAGAGAGAGGAGAAAAGACATCTAGGAGAAATCAAGGTGCCAAAGTATAGACAACTAAGACTCCGTTTGGATTGACTTAAAAAAAAGTTTTTAAGCAAAAATAAAAAGTCAAACTTAAATGATTTTTAAGTCAAAAAATAAAACTAGGGGAGACCTATTTTTGGTTTTTAACTTATTTTAAGTTAATCTTGCCAAACATTTTCTAACTTATTTTAAATCATTTTGTGACTTATTTTAATATTTGTCAAACGCTTCAGAAGTTAAAAACTGACTTAAAAATAGAGTTAATCTCTTAAAAGGTCATTGAACTATATGAAATTATTTAGTAAAGTCATTGAACTTTATTTTGTATCAATAAAATCACTCAACTTAAAGTTTTTATCTTCAAAAATCACTCAACTTCATTTATCATTAAAATAGATTTGACATGATAAAATATAAGTATTATTTTTATGTCATGTAATTATAAACCCCAAAAATAAATAACCTTATAGAATCTATTTATTATTATACCAGACCCACCCATAAATTGGCTTCAATTTTTTTTTCTTATCTGTTTGATCTTATCAGTGACATTTTTAAATTCTTGGATGTTGAGGTCTTTCAGTGGTTTAGTCCATCAGATTTCAAGGTCCTCGACACAAATTTATTTTACGAATTATGTATGGAAATTTTAATTTGACAACTAATAATTTATGTAATTATTTGATGATAATGGCACGTAGTTTTTTTTAAAAAAAATATTTTTGATTTTCTGAAATGGAGGGAGTATTAGTTAATTTTATATTTTTATTTGCTACTATATAATTACTTGTTGCAGGTCTCGTGACATTACACAGATAAGTATCTTCAATTGTACTAATATTAATTTTTCATATTATTGATATGTAAAAGATTGGACATGAATTTAATGAAGTTAGAGAATATTTTTTAAGAAGTTAATTTCTACAATGAAGGGAGTAATTTGACCATAAAAAGATAAAGAAGTTGATTTCTCATTTTTTTTTTATGTGACGACTTAATTTCTCTAATCAGAACTAACAATTGTAACTTGCCAACAACTTCAATTTTTCAGCTATACAATTTGCTAGAGGAAATAATGAAAATAAGAGCATGAATCAGGTATATGGGTTTCAGGGTGGGTTAGTATAATAATAAATAAATTCTATAAATTTTATTTATTTGTGGGATTTATGATTACATGCCATGAAAAATATTTTATTTTGTCATGTTTAATTTATTTTAATAATAAATGTAGTTGAGTGATTTTTGAAGATAAAGTTTTTAGTTGAGTGATTTTATTGATACAAAATAAAGTTTAATGACTTTGCTAGATAATTTCTTATACTTCAGTGACCTTTTAAGATATTAACTCCTTAAAAATAAGTTTGGCCTTAAGTCAGTCCAAACCCTTCTAAGAAATGAGATCTCCAGCTTTACCCAGTTATTTGAAGATTCTCTTTTTATTTGTCCATTTTAGCAAATGAAATTTATCTTTTTCCTTCTTATACTACACTGGTTATCAAATAACTATATGAAGTACACTATTAGTCAAGTTTAGATTTTCAAAGCATAATTAACAAGATTAATTTACTAAAATTAGCCTCTAATAATATTTCTACCTTCAAGTCAATCTGAACCAAATAAAATGAACCGGGATTAGGGAGTAACTAGCAATTGCTGGGTACCTTTTCGTTTATATCATTTATACGCGACAAAAAACTTGCACCAAAGTTATAAGATGGCTTTATTTCCATTATATAACAATTTTGGCAAAAGTGAAAATACGAAATAAAGATGCATGATTATGTGCAGACTTTAATTTTCTGTGCCGCCGCATAACAAAAAGTGCTCAAATTCTGGAAAGTAATACACTATTAGTGTAAGAATTTTTTGTTGATGGTGTATTCTTACACTAATTAACAACATATATAACTTAAATTCAAGAAAGTACTCAGGAGAAACCTTGCAAAAAAATAAGTACAGTGGCCGTAAATTACTACTGTAAGAAAGTCAAGACTTGCACCAAAAGAACACTCAAAAGGGGTAACTTCAATTAGTTGATACACATTTAGCATTAAGCCACATACTGCTAGGAACTGTAGAAACTTATTTGCATGTATGACTTATAGGTCATAGGTTTGGATCGTGGAAGCCGTTATTAATACTTGCATTATAGTAGGTTGTTTAGATCACGCCCCTCGCGGTGCAACCCTTCCCAAAATCATGCATAAACACGGAATGCTTTGTGCAACGGACTATTCTACATATTCATTTATTGTCTTAACTATGATTAAGTAATATGTATTCTCACATAATTATATATGGCTTAAAGTTAAATTGTTTGTTTTGACTCATATATAAATGTGTCATTTAACTTGACTTCAGTTGATATCTATGGCCTTCAATTTTGGGTTTATAAAAGTAGTCACTTAAACTTAGATAAAATTGAACAAATTGACACATTCGTCTTAGGTGACATCCTACATAACGATTTTGTGTCCTACGTGGCGTCCTACATGTATTGTCACGTAGAACGCTACATGTTCAATTTTATACTAATTTTAAGGGTATAGTTGTGAGTACACAAAGTTGAAGGGTATAATTATCATATGAAACCAAGGCAAACGGTATATTAATGTAATATGACGATGTAAAACTGGATACCCAATATACATTTTCAGCACAATAGTCCACTCATCAATGGTATAAAGCAGCAGCAGGTACACTACCCTAAATAAGGAAGCCTATTTCAGAAGAATGCTTGAGTAACAAATGATCTTTTAACATTTCTTTCGATTACAACATTTTCTCAAACAACTTTTGCTCCATGCTAATTTTAAAATTTTTGAACACTACACTAGTTCATGTGTAAGCACAAATAATGCAAGTCAGTTTTCTTGCATAAGCAGTAGCAATGAAACCCAAATTACCAAAAGAGAAAAAAAGAAAAGAGTGGAGTAATTATTTGTTTCACCCCAAGTACTTTGTGACTGCATGGAGAGGTCCACACTACTAAAAGCCTGTAAAAAGAATAGCTTTCGTTTACTTATAAGCAGTCAGCACGTGTCCGGCAAGGCCTATTGCTGCGTTTTTCTCTACTCTAACCTACCTCTCTGCTCACTGCTTCAATGCCTCCACCGAATATTCCATCTTCCCCTTCGGACGTCAGTTCTTTTAGTCCCAGAACAAAATGTACATTTTCACATATATACAGTATCACCAAATCATAAGCACTGTACGTAACAACGGCCTATTTTAAAATTTTAATTTCTTCCTCATCAGTTTCAAACTATTAGCTATTGACATTCGAAATAATCGTGCCCCATTACGAAGGACGTTAAAATCGAGAGGATATCAAACTCGAAAATTTATAAAAGATGAACTCTTATTCTTCAGAGAATTAATATTTTCTCCAAAGGAAATGATTTGCAGAGGCAGCTTCTCGGTTAATACTACTTGTATATTAACACAAAAGAGAGATCATTTCGTGTTCCCGGGCTGTACATATTCAAATTGAACTCCTGCCCCATGGAAACCAAAATCATAAAGCAATAAAGTAAGAAAACAAAAAAAGAGAAGTAGTACTAGTTTAAAGAGTGAACAGTTAAATATACTTGGAAATACTAGAATCACTACTAACAAATTAGATTAAGAAGCAACTGCTGCTATTGCTATGATCTTGGCCTTTAAATATTGTGGTTTCATTGTCGAACCCATTCGTAGCGACCTTCCAATGGCTCCTCTTTTGCAAAGTCAAAGTTGTATCTGTTACAGCACGCACTTTCATGAATAATGATACTCTTTTCCGAGCAGAATTTTGAAAAAGGAGATACAAATGCGTAAAAAATGAGGAAGAGAGAGATAGAATTGTACTTTTCTGCAAAATGTTTGTGGAGATCTTTCTCGGCTGCAGCAAAGAACTCATCAAGCTCAGCCTCGGAGGGCATAATTGCCTCTGTCAATCGGCGGCGGCAAGATTTAGCATGTTTTGGTTTCGGTGTTGACTCCACTTTGTGAAATTCAACTTTGAATTTGCTGGAGAGTATTGTCTCTCTACTGCGGAATGACGCTTTGTTTTCAATAAAAGATGAAGAAAAAGAAAATACTGAAGAGGCGGATCTGAGAGAGAATTGAAACGCCATGAAAATTATATAGAATACGTATTTACCTTTCTCTCAACTCTGAATAGCTGGTTGCAATTTCCACACTGTCCTCCTGGAAAATTCGAAATTCAAATATCAGTCCGCCATAAATTTCACAAAAATGAGCAGTTATAGAACGGCATGACAATTCACTCCAATTCTAATGCATTAACTTGATACTAT